TCAAACTTGATTAAAATAATACTGAAGGATAAAACCTGAAATCATTTTAAACTTGATTAAAATAATACTGAAAGATAAACCTGAAATTCCACAATCCCTCTCTTGGTCTATCAAAAATGATAGACCAACCACCTTTCAGTGTCTACAGGTACTTGGTCTCAGCCAATTCCAGGTGACCTCTTCCTTCCTGCGCTGCATCCCCACTGACCTGGATCACAGGGCACACCGTACCTGTGCCCCCCGCTCCATCCAAGTTGACCATCCTCCCTACAGCAGCTTTCACACACGGTGCAACGCACCCCAACAAAACACAGAAAAGAACAACAACCGCCAAAGGAGGCACCAACAGTTTGGCCAGCAACTGACTCCAAGACCCACTCATATACCATGACCAAAATCCCTCTGACCCTGCTGGAGGGTCCTCTCCTTTAGCCTTCTGCAGACCCCTCAGTTGTGCTAGGGCCTCTGTTACTCTGCTTTGAGGGTTTGTACTAGTCTCATCAGGGATGTAAGTGCAACATGCCTCCTTACCGATCACCTCACACACCCCACCTAGGTTCATACCAGATGGCTAGGCCTCAGACTGACGAAGCCTCTTGGATGAGGGGCGAAACGTTTCTTTTTTAACAAAAAAACGAAGTCCAGATGACATGATTCAACCTTTTTTGTTGTTATATACCTGGATGACTGAGAAAACAAACTTTGTGTTTTTGAAACCATTAGTGAAAAGGCCAGACTTCAGGGGTATCTGAGGCAGGCTTGAAACACAAGAGTCAGGGTGGCTTCTGGGTAATACCAGATGGCTAGGCCTCAGACTGACGAAGCCTCTTGGATGAGGGGCGAAACGTTTCTTTTTAACAAAAAAACGAAGTCCAGATGACATGATTCAACCTTTTTTGTTATCACCTATAGTCTACACTTTAATTGAATACCAAAATTATAGTTGTTTTATACCCAGGAATCAATCGCTGTAAACCTGTGAAACAAAATTGATTCAAATGCACACACAGTAAAAGTTAAAAGTGTGACCTCCTGAGAGGAACTGTAACTGTAAGATTATAACCTGTTTGATAACTGAAAATGGGTGTATGAACACTTTAAATCAACCTGCGGAAAATGACCACATACACCTCGAAATCACAGTTTTCTCTTTCTTTTTAGAAATTGGATTGTTGAAGCTGCTCCTCCGATTGTACGCCCAAGAGCTCTCCTCACTTCGACCCCAGCTCCTGAGGTCTTCAGGAACACAGCTGCTCAACTCCTCTTGCTGTTTTAATTGGCCAAACAGGGGGACTTCATTCCCACGTTTCTGCTGCCTTGTATTTCACACAAACATCAACAGATTAAAGAACTCTGCTGCTCAATTGGTCAGCAGGGGGACTTCATTCCCAGCGTTCTGCTGTCTTTTTATTTCACTAACCCCAATGGGTTTTAAAACGATGCGTCTTCCACACTTTCTACTTCTGCTCACGCCGCGTCTTCCACACTTATATCTGAACTCGTCGCGTCTTCCAATATATCTGAACCCGTCGGGTCTTCCAATATATATCTGAACCCGTCGGGTCTTCCAATATATATCTGAACCCGTCGGGTCTTCCAATTTGCTGACAGCAAGTGCTCACTTATCAGCTGATTTCCCTCTCTTGCAGGTTAGACGCTTGCTCCTGACGTGAGGTGTATGATCACACCTCTCCCTGATGTTGCAGATCCGTCCGGATCTGCTGTAATGATCGCTGTGGCTCGGCTGCCGGTGCACACTGGCTGAGATGAAACCACGTGGAACCTTTCCCTCTCAAGCGTACTGCGTATGATGTGCGTTCTGTCACCTCATATGGGCCCGTCCACCTTGGCTCCGCCCACTTCCGTTTAGTGACTTTCAGCAGTACCCAATCTGAGAGTGGGCACGTGGGGTTTACTCCGTCCGGAGTACTGGTCTCAGGAATCTGTAGATGAAAACTGGACAACATACTTTTTAGTGTATCAAAGTACATTTTGTGTGTCATTTTTGATACCTGTTCTGAGGGCCACCCTACATTCTGTTGGGGCCCTGGAAACGACCTTCCTGTGGTCAGTTCATAAGGGGTGAAACCTGTACCCCTGTTAACAGAAGCTCTTACCGCCATAAGGGCGATGCGCAATGCATCCAGCCAATTGGAATTTGTCTGTGCACAGATTTTTGATAATTTCTGTTTCCGGTTTCCATTTAATCTTTCCACTTTACCCTGTGATTGTGGGTGATAAACGGTACCAAACGCATGCTTCAAACCCAAAGCTTTTTCAACCTTTTGCAGATCTGCATTTTTGAAATGAGTCCCATTATCAGATCTAACTATCGCAGGGAACCCATGTCTGGGGATGTAATGATTTATTAAACACTTGATTACAGTTTGACTATCCTCCTTTTTAGCAGGCCAGGCTTCTGGCCATCCGGTGAACGCGTCAACGCAAACCAATAGGTATCTAAAACCTCGTACTGGTTGAATCATGTCAGTGTAATCAATTATTACCTCACGACCCGGTGTCATGTCCGTGGGAAACTTTCCTTGTTGACGCGGTTTAAGAGTTGGCTTGGAGTTATACAAATTGCATAACGTGCATTCTTTCACAAACGCTCTGATCAAGTCGTTCATGTACGGGTGCCACCAGTTGACGACATTCCTCTTCATCTGGTGAACCCCCACATGACTCAAACTGTGTGCCTCTTCGAAAACTCTCCGCTTCAGGCTCAGTGGAAGTACCCATCTTCCATCTTCAGGGTTTATCCACAATCCATCTGGTCTTTTTTCAGCTCCTCTTTCACTCCACATCGCCTTTTCTTCTGGAGCTGCACCTTGTTGGCAACAGGCGATGGATTCTTCATCCCATCTGATTCTTTCCCCTTCTTCTTCTGGGGTTATCATCACCATCTGACTCCAGTTGATAAATCCTGAGGCCCTTTTCGCCTCCAAATCAGCTTGACAGTTTCCTTTTGCTATGCTTGAGGAATCTGTATCATGACCTCGACATTTCACAATGGCAATTTATGTTGGTAACATCAGAGCTGTTTCTAATTCCCTCATATCTGCCTCATGTTTGATAGGTTTCCCGTTAGCTGTACGAAAACCTCCCCTCTTCCACTGGGCCAGCTCCACATGAGCTGC